TCGGCCATCGGCTGCATATCATTGCCGCCCTGGGAGCGAACGCTGCGGCAAAAAGCAGTCCTCCCTCCCCACCGACGGATTGGTTCGGACCAGACCGCCGCCGCCGCCCTCCTACCCCCGGAGCGCAACGCGACCCCCGCGCTGGCGCCAGCGCTCGGCGCGCGGCCTATGTCGCCCGGCCGGCCATACCCCACGCCTCCGAGGCTCCTAGAGCGGGTGCCAGGTGGGACTACTCCGCGCGCCTAGAAGCCCACCCGACACGACTGCGGCGTGGAGCGGTGTGGTCGCCCGTCGCTCGGCCCGTCCGATCCGCCCCCCGTCGAACGTCGCCCGTGCGCCCGTCCAGGCCGGCGAGCAGGCGGCGGGCCTGCCCTGTCCAGACCAACGATACAGTCCGTCTCGGAAGCCCCTCAGTCCAGCATCTCCTAGAGGCACGGCGGGTCAGTCCCTCTTCCTCCTTCTCCCCTCCCGACGAGCGCCGCCAGCACCAGGAGCCATGGTGAGTGTCGAGGTTAGGCCGCTCGCGCGCGTCGAGCACCGAGACAGTGCTGTGTATTTTGGTCGCCACCATACAATTGGCACGCGAGGGTTCGCAGCGGGGGTGGCTTTCGCAAGCGGCGCGCGGCGGCGGCGGGGCGTCGCCAAGCACGTGTGCCAGCCCCCGGCGGGGCGCGGGATTCGAAAAGGTGCGCGGAAGTGTCTCTTGGATCGCGCACCCTCCTCGGGAAATGTATATCACTCTCACAGAAAGGAAACATCCGCTCCCGAAACTACTTTCCCTTGAGCTGGGCATTGACCAAGGCCAAGGTCACTTTGGAAAATAGTAGTAAAAACGGTCACTGCCTTGTATGTTATTGTAAAAAGGTACAGGAAGTTGAGATAATGTTTTGAAATGCAGTCCCTACTGTGGCTGCTTCATCAAAACGTTTCATTACCCCGATAAAGTTTCATTCGTATTAAGAGGATAATGCTGATTGGGTCAACAGAATTCTTTTTACTGTGCGCGATGGTGCGTGCGACGAGTGCGACGGACTTACGTAACCGCGTTAAGAGCCAACAATGCGAGGCAATTATCTATCAATCCTCGTTCTATCGGCTGCGGCAGACACGTGTGGAGAGAGATGAGGAAAAAAAGTCTCGTGTCCTGCTCCGACCGCTTCGTGTAGCCTTCGATAGTCTCGGTGCATCAAGGTAAAGGCACTGGTCGGTGGCAACGACTTTTAAACATTGCATCATTGATATAGTACCGCCCAGGCCACGCCAGGGGTGTCGGGTGTCATCGGCGGGTAGCGCCGGGTGCGATGTCCGACGTCGCGGTCTTTATCTCATCGGGGAGAAAGATTAATTGGCACAATGTTGGGACGGCGGGGGTCCGCCCGGCAGAGACAAGCTCCGGCTGACCGTGCGTGAGCGGGGGCACCGCTTATAGTAATTGGCGGGATAATTGAACGTTATGCAAACATGCTCCCGTGCGACGGTCGCGACGACGTGTTAACAGCTCGACTAAGTTGAAAGAAATGATTGAGGTCCCGAACGACGGGGCAAAACCGCATGCCGAGTATTAACCGCGAAGGCGACGTTGCATTGAGCAGAGCGGTGCTCTGATAAGATCCCAATCCACGTCTCTACAACAGTCTGCCAGCATTTGGCTTTTGGACAGCGATGGGTGATAAAAATCTCGACACGAATACCTCAAACTTATTCCGCGCACTGTAAAGTTTCTGTACATAAGTTGTCTAGCCTAACAGAGACTTCCACTAACGATGGTTGTGTAACCAGAATACAACCTCGAAATTCGCCCATGTGATTATTCTCCGTCATATTTACTGCGTTCCCGAGTGTTCAGCTGTCTCGAGCTGTCCAGAGACACCTTGAGAGACGAGCTTTTGCGATTCAATCCTTTCCACTCGCTCCTGTACAGTACTCAAATGGCATCCGGGCCAAAATAGTGCCTTGCCTATCAACAATTATGTAAGCTTTTCGATATTTAGTTTCCTGAACAACAGTCGAATAAATACTACAAGGAAGTAGTTGACAAAACCGGTTGTTTTTTTTGTGAGTATCGCGCTGTTTTTCACACACTACCTGTCTATGTAATTTGAGAATTGGGACCAAATGTCTGGCCAGGCTGCGGTGAAAGGACGGCGACATCGCGAGGGCCGCGCTGGGCCGGTCCTTCGGAACGCGATCTGACAACAGACACCGCAGGGCTCGCGGGCCCTGCAGCCCTGCAGGGAGGCTCGCAGGGCGCTGCATAGCCCTCCCAAACGTTTCTTTTTCCCATGGCACCCGGGCCCAGGAGACCTATCCTGCGAGTCTCACAATCGCGGCCGGATATCAGTTGCACGGTTGCCTGGGTTGCCGCTGAAATGGGAGGACCTCTGCTTACGGGCGGCGGCAGGGCCCCACACACAAAATCCCGCGCGCCCGAGACTGGACACCGCCCGAATAGCTCCCCACAACCTCGCACCCACTCCTCCTCCTCCTCCTTCCACCGGGTCCTGAGCGACTAGGCTAGGCGCGCCGGTCCAACGCGCGCTATCTTATCCATGGGGAATGGAACCCCTCGGTACCCGTAAATCTGATTAAGTCAGCCCCACTGCAGGAACCCGACCATTAAACAGTCAGAGAGGATAAATACTTTTTTCTTTTTTTTTACCCCGTCCTAATCCCCCGTCCGCTCCGTGGCCTGGGTCCGGGCGGCGGACCCCTGACCCGAGCGCGCACGCCACGGCAGCCCTCACAGTTCCAGCAGGAAGCCCTAGTACACACGCTGAGCGCCGAGCCGGGCGTAGGCCGGGCGCCTCCCCGCCCCCGCGCCGTACACTTACGTGTGATATGACGCCCCCCTCCTCCCTTCGGACCTACACGTCACGTCACTCATCATACGCAGCGCCCTGCTGGGCAGCGCCGCCCTGGGCAGCGCTGGCCGCGCTGGCCACGCTGGCCAACGCCCCCGCCCCGACCGAGGGCAACGCGTCTCCTCCTAATCCTTCCGGTGTAAGGTTGCCGCTAACACGCCGAGCTCCGCCACGATCCTCTCCCGCGCTTCCCGGTGGCCGAGGGAGGAGGAGACGACGGCGACGACGTGGTGGGTGTGCCGCGGGCACCGCGACGCGCGACGGCCACGGCCACCCTCGCGGCGGCGAGGCAGGGAGGACGGAGGACGCCCTCCTCGGCGCAGAGGAGGAGGAACGTCTTCAAATTACCACTCGTCAGGGCGGGAAGGGGGACGGGACGAGTAAAGCCGCCTTACAGGACTAGGGTCGACCGCGTGAAGAGGTTTTTGTGAGGCGTCGAGATTGTGAGGGGCATCGCCGAAGTGCTTCACTGGAAAGCCTATGAATGTTTCAAAAAGACTCATCCAATACTTATAAATGTTCAATCGAGCAGGCATGCCGCATGTTGCCATGGGGAAAAGGCCTCTGGCCTATCACCCACACTCGGCACGTGCTCACCGGTTAAAGAATTAATTTCAGTGTGCATAATTACGTAAGGAAAGTTGTTATCAACATGAACTCATACTGAACGAGTGAACCGCAGACGGCAGTGCGTCGGTATGTATGTATATGCAGATGCGCTACTGCGTGGCGTGGCGGGGCGGGGCGTGGTGGGGTGAGGCGGGGTGGGGCGCACCCATCCCAAGGTCAGACTTACGTAAGGCTGGAGCCAGGGCCAGCAGCCTCCGCGACGGCCAGGCCGCGGTGGGACGTCACGCGCGGCCCCAGTTTAAACTTTTCCACAAAGGGGTGAAGACCGGACGATGGCAATCATGAGAC